TAAGTACCCGTTGCCTAATAGTCTGACAAACGTGCAGGATGTCCCCCGTTGGATACGCGGCGGGTTCTTTATCGGCACACATACAGGGGGAAAAAGATAATGTTTCCGCAGGGAAATACACACATATGCACGAATACGCCTTTGTGAACGGCGTATATGAAAAAACACTCGTATAATCTGCGCGCCTGCGTGCAAGCACAGGGTCGGATCCATTTGTTCCGCCGTTTGCGAAGTATACACGCGTGCCGCTGGTAGGTGGCGCGGATCCATAAAGATGACGAATTAACTGTTTTGCCTATCCCCATTTATGATGTCGGCGTGTGCACGGGCGCCTACTAATGTACATACGTAAGAACACACGGACACACATATATAGATATATATATTTATGTATATTTATATACCTTTCGCTTCCCCCACCCCTGCGTGCGCACCTGCATGTGGGACATCCCAAACATAACTTTGTGTGCACACCTTGCGCACTCCATTAATGCTTTGTCCTTTTTTCCGTCCGTCCTTGACGGTAACGCAGGCTGCGCCCTGCCGACGGAGCTTCTAATTCCAGAAGGGGACGTTCTTATCAGGGACGCACCTCCACTCCTCCTCCAAAATCAACTTTGCCTTTTTCTTCAACCACCGAGGTTTCCAGTCCTGACTTAGCCACAGCCACTTCCCAGACTTCCCCCTTTTCATCATTGGGCGTCCCCCTTTAATTGCCCTTGTGTGGGGAAACCGAACCACTTTAAAGATTTTGTCCGTAAAGAGCAATTGCAGATCGCTCAAAAATTTAATGACGCTCGGATTGTATGCCCCTAGATATAGGATTAAATTTTCAATCAGGACCTTCGATTTCGATGTGTCCACATCATTTAGGGGAAATGTTAATGTGTAAGATTCTAGCGCGTGGTGGAAGGCATCATCATACTGTTCCTTCTGCATATATTTTATGGCCAAGATTCTGCACACGCGGCTGAGGTATCTCGTTTTTTCATTACTTTTCGAGGCTTTTTTTAATTTTCCATTTCGTAGTTCTTCTGGGTTTTCGCCTGAACGAAGGATTTCCGCAGAGCTTATCGCTTTTGACGGAGCTTCCTCTTCCCACTCGTTGGATAAAAATTCCTCCACCCCGTTAATACGCCTTAAATGAATATTTTTAAAATCATCGAAAGTGATGATCGGTTCGTTGAAATGGATTGACTCCATGGCATGAGCATGTATAGAAGACTTCTCCTCTCCTGCTTCTTCCAAACCTTTTTTTAGGTCCAACAAATTCTCGATTGACAATTTTTCCTCATCGAAAAGAAGTAGAAACGCTTTGGCCATTAACTTGCTGTAGCGCTCGTTTATGTCCAGGTAGGAACTATGGTTGGCAATTATTTCATTCAAGACAAGTTTGATCTGATGATGATTTTTTTTCTCTCCATTGAGTAAAAGATCTAGCTTTTTAAAAAGGACATACGTGGTGCACTGATATTTTAGCAATAAATCGGTTAGCGTATCTTTTGGGAAGAGTTTTTCCTTCATTTCTGTTACAAAGCTGTTTTTGTCGTTTGGGGAAGGGGTGCTATCCATAGGGGCTTCTCCATGATTGGCTGTTTCTATGGGTGAGCACATTCCATGAAGAAATGCTTCCCTCTCGAAGAAGTCATCATAACCGCTATTGGGAAGCTCCTCTTCCCTGGCCAAAAAATCGACCATATTGTCTACCTCTCGAATGGAGTTAAAATAAGTGCCACATCTTCTTAGCAGCCTGTTCACATTTGTTTCCTCATTTAATTCCTTTCCGATCAATTCATCTACTAGCTTATTTTTATGTCTTAACTGAATTGTGGGTATCGATTTAATGTGGAACTTACGAACGAGGAAATTATTCATACTTACGTTTAGCTTGTATAGGGGCAACTTTTCAACTTTCTTGATTTGGACGAAGTCCTTACTTAGGGTTGCCAATTTGTCAAAATGGTTGAAACATCTATTTGAGTAATGGGCATATCCGTAGAGGAGAAATGTTTTTCTCTTTTTTATTACATTGTCATAATTTTGGTCGTTTATTTCTTTGCATTCGAGAAGTTTGCTATCTGTACTGTTTAGCATAGCGGAGGAGATGGTGAACTGGCACTTTCGCAGGGGTATGAATGGCGCCTTGTGGTGTCTGCTATTTGTCTTCCCCGCGGACAGGCACGGGGGCAGGAGTGCCGCGCGCATGTTTCTGCGCCTTCGCAATGAGGTTCCTTCGCTCCGCAGGTCATCAATTTGCACACTTAGGATGATGCATTTGCTGGTTTGGCGACACAATATGGAGGTGGTACTACCACCTATCTAGTGCTATTAAACTTCTGATTTTGCCCCCTTCTTTTTCTTTTTTTTCCACTCCAGGGGAAATATATATAAATCGAGGAGCTCGTTTTCGTTGTAACATTCGCAGGAAAAGTGAGTAGCCGCATCGTCACTCATCCGTTTATATACATACGATATGTATGAGGATACCCACGTTTGTGCTTGCACTTTTGTGGGTCGCGTTTACGTTCTCGCAGGAGGTTCTACTTGGTTACGGATATGGTCATTTTCTCCTCCATCTTTTTGATCAGCTGATGTGCATAAAAATTGCGAAGGGGGAGAAATAAGTATCTATTTTGAATGCTACATTGCGACGCGGAACGTAGTTTTTTTTTTTTTTTAAATGAAGGTAGGCCAGTAGAAGGTTCTTCACAGCTGACATGGTAGAGAATTGTACCAAAAAAAAAGGGCGCACAAGGGATTTCCCCCATTTTGCCCTCTATTTTTGTCCCTTCTATCTTGCCCTTTATTTTCCCCTCTATTTTTCCCCCTTTGCACAAACTTACCCCATCCAGGTGGAGGCTTATGTTCAAAATTGTATCGTCCCGTATACTGTCGTCATAAAAGGTGTTTTCCTGTTCCCGTCGGATGGCCATTTTTAAATTGTGCAATTCTGGCAAAGGAGGTGATCCCCCACATGGTATGCGTACGCGTGTGTAGGTGAGAAGCAGTAAAAATGAGAAAGAGCGCCTTGCATTTGTTGCAACGATGGGTTGCCTGAAAATGTCGCTATCTTGGCTAACCCATGTACGAACTTGCAAGGGTCCGGTCCTGTCCAAATGATTACCTTTTACGACCCAAGTTTGAAACTCGTAAAAGTGTCTGTCCTTTTCGTTAAACTTGTCAAGAAGCCTTAAAAAAAAAAAAAAAAAAGTGAAGCATTGTGCATGACACAGCATTCTATCGTGTGTGTATAGCGAGGCAAAATGTTGGGGAGGTTAATTCCCTTTTTTGTGCTGCCCCAAATTATCCACCTTTTACCTTCCAATGTTGTTTTTATACTTATCCTTAATCACCTGTATGATGTTTTTTTTCTTCCCCAGTTCGGCCTCGAGCTGCAGCTTTTCGCTATGCGCCAGCTGGAACACGAAAAAGTTAGGGAAGTTACAAAAATGGGCGTAGTCACGAACAGGCAGTATGAAGAAAGTCCAATTCAAGGGAATCATTAGACGCAACCAATCAACCACGCGGATGACACTTTGCATGTGCATTCGCGTGTCCATTCGCGTGTCCATTGGCATGCCCATTTTCATGCCCATTTTCATGCCCATTTTCATGCCCATTTGCATGCCCATTTGCATTTCCATTCACATGCCCATTCGCGTGCTTGGAAAGTCTCTCACCTCAAGGCTATTTCTAAGGTGCATATTTTCAGCCACCAAAAAGTGCGAGTGATGCAGTTCCTTGTTTCGGCTTTTTATCATTTGTCGATACGTTTTGGATAATTCGGTCAGGTCCTTCAATTGCGTATGTGTTTTAAGTGCAGTGTTGGAGGTTCTAAAGGGATCGCATTGAGCGGATAAGAAGACAAATTGATCGATACAGCATCAGTCGATCGTCTCCCTCCCGCTTTACTCGCAATTATTACCACGATTTTTTCGTTAAGTTTTACTATTTCCTCCTCCAACGATTCGTTTTGTCTCCCCATTTTGCTAAGTCGATCTTCCAGGTTTTCTTTCTCCCCTAGTATTTCCGCCACCTCTTTTTCCTTTTGGATGTATGCCCCTTCGAGGTTCTACTTAAGGGTTGGATAGTAGGCGCAGTGTAAGAGGATGCATTCAATTATCTGCACGGACATTTCCGATGCCGTGTGCGTTATTCTCCCCTTTTTTATGTCCCCTTTTTTATGTCCTCTTTTTTATGTTCCCTTTTCCGAACCTGTAACTTTTTCCGAAGGGCCTCTGACTCCTTTTTCAGGACCGCCTTCTCGTGGTTGGATTTGTTCTTTCAGCGTTCGTGCGAAATTGGATAGCGGAAAAATGTACATCAAGAGGTAAAGTGCAGTATCTTTAATGTGAGTTTTTTTGGAAAGGACAATATTCTACGTGCAACTTCTAAATAGGGGCGGTGGGGGGATTTAACAATGGATCCAATCCCACTTGCGATGGTACATATATAGAATCACACATACATAGATAAATACATACCCCCCCTACCCCTTTGCATGATCGCTTACCAACAGGTTTTTATATTTCTCCTCCAAAATTAAGTACTCCATTTTTGCGCACCTGCTACTGATATGCGTCTTTATGGCGGATGCAGTTGCATATCTGCAAAAAGGGGCGGCACTGAAGGGTGGGTTGAAAATTGGCTACACGTTTTTCCTGATGTGTCGTTCATTATGTGAAGGCTTAGGGGTGGATCTGATCACTGCATAAGTGGTTTACACGTGTGTGCCGCTTGGTTGCACATATTTATCGCTTCACAGTTGTGCAAAATTGCATTAATTTTAATATGCACTATTTTTATTCTCTATGCTTGTCGTGCGGTGCGAAAGATAATGTATCATTGAAAGTTGCCGAGGGTATGTTCAGCTAGTGGAATCTCTTCTCGCCTTAAGTGGCAGTTAATCCATAAGTTATCACTCTACAGTGCCTTAAAGTGATGCAGAATGGTTTCGCGCCTTCTTAAATAGGCAGAGGAGGTATATACTCTGTGCAGATCGAAGAGGGACTTGCAGATAATGCACTCCCTGGGTGCTATGTGGAGGAATATACTTCTTTCTATTTTTATTTTATTATATTTTTTCCCTTAATGATGGGTTACTTCTCCATGGGGGGAGAATATCCTCTATCTTTACGTTACAAAATTGTGTATTCTACATCTCCTTTTCACCTCACCTTATGCGCGAAGCTTTTTTTTAACCGTGTGGAAGTCTCCTTCGTTGGGGAAAATTACTCCCATGTGTACATATGCCAGTGCATATGTGTTCGAATTTTCAAGCTAATCAATTTTATTTTTTTTACGTTAAGTCTGTTAATGGAGAAACAGAGAAGAGATAAAATGGGGGATCTTTTGTCAAATTTTCATTTTTTTTATTTTGTCTTTTGAGTGATCTTTTGTTCATGCTTTTTTTTTTTTCATTTTCACACTTTCCATGTAATTTATTAGGAATTTTACTTGATTGCCGAAGTAGAGTTCCCGCGTAGGGCCCTCCCGCTGTTGGGCCAAGAACATATACATACACATATACATATATATATACAGACACACACATAGACGCACACACAGGTGGAAGATGCAAAGGGGTGTAAATTGCACTCTCCCGTGAAAAAGGAAAAAAAATATACCTACAGGAAGTTGGAGTCTGTAAAAATGCACAAATGTGTGGTGCGTGTAAAAAAGCACCGTTCGCAAATTCATGCAAGCTTCGCATTTTTGTCAAAAGGACGTTTTGAAAGTTGATCAACCGGGGGATAACACAAAATATATGCTTCCTTATTGGGCTTGAATTTCCCCCGTTCGGAAAAAAAAGAGGGAGAGAGAGAAAGAAAGGGAAAGAAAAAGATAAAGGAGAAGAGAAAGGGAAAATAAGTTTAAAGGATTTCTTATCAAGTGTCACTTTTAGCTCGCGAGAGGAGGACAACTGGGAAAATCGTCAGAAGTGAGCAGAGTGTTTTACATTAAAAGGCCCCAAACCATCGGGGAAATATTTCCAAAATAGGGAAAATCTCCGGGGAGGGAGAAATTTCACAGCTGCTTTACTTCTGCGGCGATGGAAATGGTGAAAGGGGCAAGTTGGAAATCAGGAACGCAGCAAAAAAAAAAAAAAACATAATAAAATATAGTATAATATAGTATAATATAATAAATTGAAGCAACCCAAGGGGCGAGGCACGACAGCACGGAAGACGTGCACATGCTGAAGCGCCTGAACTGGCAGAACCTCTTGGACAGCAGGAAGCCCCCTTTTCAAAATGCACATCGAGGAGATCATCCTAGATGGCTTCAAGAGCTATCCAACCAAAACGGTGATCGGGCCGTTCCATCCGCAGTTCAACGCGATAACGGGGCTAAATGGAAGCGGGAAGTCGAACGTCCTAGACGCAATCTGCTTCGTCATGGGCATAAACAATTTGAACCTGATTCGGGTGAATAGGCTGGACGAGCTGATCTACAAACAAGGACAGGCGGGAATCACCAAAGGGAGTGTAACGATCAAATTTAACAATGAGCAGAAGCCAAGTCCTCTACAAGAACCGTACAGAGACATGAAGAACATCACCATAACGAGACAAATCGTTTTAGGAGGACGGAATAGGTACCTACTAAATAGTCACAACGCCAAGCCAAAGGATATTAGTGACTTCTTCCAGTCACTCAAGTTAAACATTAACAATCCGCACTTTCTAATAATGCAAGGGAAGATAACAAAAGTGATAAACATGAAGCCCGTGGAGTTGCTCGGGCTTATTGAAGAATCCAGTGGGACAAAGCTCTACGAGGTGAAAAGAACAAATGCAATAAAATTAATGGGAAAGAAAGATCAGAAGCTGGAGGAAATTAACAAAGTACTAGTGGACGAAATTGAGCCGACCCTGGTAAAATTAAAAAAGGAAAAGGAAGAATACAACAAATTCATTAGCAATAATGAAGAAATTGAAAAATTTGAAAAAATCGAAATTGCATACAAATATTATGTGGCCAAAAATATGATGGAGAAAAGTCAAGAAAAAATTGAAGACGCTATGGATGAAAAGAAAGTCCTCGAAAAAGACATCAAAGATATCGACAAAGAAATGGAGATTTATAAGAAGGAAAAAGAACAGTTAGCTAGCCAGACCTATGTTGCTAGTGAACCTATGAAGATACTCATTTCGGAGAAGGAACAGGTGGAAAAGAAAATCTCCCATCTCAAGTCAGAAGCCAAGATAGAAGGAAAAGAAAAAGAAAAGGAAAAGAAGAAAAAAGAAGAAATTAAAAAAGAAATCAAACGTATTGAAAAAAAATTAAACGATTATGAAAAAAATGACGAAAAAAATAATAAAAATTTGAAGTCTTATGAGGATCTGAAAAAAAAAATAGAGCTTCTACGGGAAGAACTTAGCGAAAAGCAGACCACAATTAACTGCTTGCTAAGTGGAGGGATCAACAACAGCGAGTATACTGGCTCCTTCAGAGAGCAGCTAAAAAATAATAAAACTAATCTGAGCCAAATAGAGACACAGATAAATAACTTGCTACAAAATAACAAACATCTCGAGAAGGAAATCATGGCTTTAAAGGACCAGAGGAAGAAATTCGAAAAGGAGTTCAGCGAAATGAACAAGGAAAAAGAAGCAGAGGAAAAAAAAAAAATCGCTTGTGAGAATGAACTACAACAATTAAACAATGAACATAATAACTTCCTCGATATAGACCTTCTGCAAGAAGATAAAAGGATCCTGACGAACGAAATAGAAAAAATACACCAGGAGTTACAAGTGCTGAAAAATTTAATCAACCATGTAAAAATCGATTTCAAAATCCCTGGCAATGTCAACCCAGCAGATGTCCTTGGACAGATATATGAATTGATAAAAATTAAGAAAGAGTATAGCCAAACGGCTTTGGCCATTCACCTGATCCTTGGGGGGAAATTATCCTACATACTTGTCCAGAACAAAGAGTGCAGTAAAAGCCTATTCGAATATAATAATTTTGCCAAAGGAAGCAGGAGAGTAACACTGCTGCCGTTACAAGACTGTGTCGTGTCACGAGATGTGAACGAAAAGATTGTAGAAGAGTGCCGCCGATATGTTGGGGTAGATTCAAAAGATAAGAAAGACGTTATTCACTTCTTAGACATAATGGAATATGACAAGAAGTTGGAAAAACTTATCAAATACCTTTTTAACGGAACTATTATATGCTCCAGCGTTGATTACTGCAAGAAGATTACCTACAATCCGAATAAGAAGCTCTCCTTCCCGACCATAACCCTGGAAGGAGATAAGTTCGACACATCAGGAAGCATGTCCGGGGGTTCGAACAAAAATATCAACCTCTTCTTACTTCACTATGAAAAATATGAAATGAAAAAAAAAGAATTTCTTGACAAGGATCAGAAGTTGAAAGAAATAACCGCCAAATTGGACATCCTCCAAAAAGCGGAGGAGAGAAAAAAAAAATTGTGTAAAGATTTACAGATCTATGCCAACAATTTGAGCAACATAGAAAACAGAATACAAACGAGTAAATACGGAAATATATGCCAAAAAATTGAGCAGTCCAAGGACGAAATAGAGAAGGGGCGAAAAGAACTGACCGAGTTGTATGTGAAACAGAAGAAACTCACTGAAGTGATACACAAAATTGAAAAAGATATCTCAGAGTATGAAAACAATAAAGACAAAAAAGAGGAAGACTTAAAAGATTCAGTCAGAAAATTAAAAAATAAAATAAAACTCCTCGAAAATGAAGAACACAAGAAGAAAGAAGAAGTTGATGGAGTACTTCTCCAAATAGAAAATTACAAAAAACAAATGGAAAAAGAAAGCAACGATTTGGTCACCGCTGATGAAACTATAAATCAAATTGATAAAAAAATTGAAGAAATTGAAAATAACATAAATGTTGCATTGGAAGAGGTGAAAAATCTCGATAAAAAAATTTTAGAACTCCAGGCCAGCTTCAGTTGCTATGAAAATGAAATAAAACAGGTAATAAAAAAGATGGAAGGTCTGGAAAAAAAGAAAAGCAAACGCATGCTTGATTTGAAGAAGCTAGATAACACTTTAATCGATTTGCAAAAGGATTCCCAAACGGCCAGCGACACTGTCAAATATCTTAACAAAACCCACGTTTGGATCGAATCTTACGAACCTCTGTTCAATAAGAAATGCACTCCATACGATTTTGAAAATTTTAGACATGATGTCATACAGAAAAAAATACAAGCCCTCCAGAATGAACAGAACAAATTGTCCATAAACATCAACAGGAAGGCTGTTCAAATGTATGAACAGGTGCAGGTGGATTACAAGGATCTCATCACGAAGAAGTCCCAGGTCGAGGAGGACAAGAAAAAGATACAAGAAGTTATAGCAGATCTGGACGTGAAAAAAAGCGAGAGTTTACTTTCTATGTATGAGCAAATTAATGACTACTTCCAGGCCATCTTTTCCACGCTGCTGAACAATGCGCAGGCTAAGTTGTGTGTGGTAGATGGGGACCTCTCCAACGGGATTGAGATGAAGGTACGGTGTGCACGGGTTTTTCCCCCTCCTTCATTGTCATTGTCGCGGCTGCCACTTCCTAGTGGTGAACTCCATTGTATGCATGCAACACGGAGTGATGATAATACCATAAAAATTTTTCTCCTTCCTCTTGTGATGCACACGCGAAGTGGGACATGTGGCGCTTCATAATGATTGCGGCTTGTTCTTTGCTCTGCTTCTCTTTTCTTTACTTCGCTTTGGTGTACTTCTCTTTTCTTTACTTGTCTTTGTTGTACTTCGCTTTGCTTTACTTCACCTTTCTTTACTTTTCTTCCCTTCCCTCCCCTCTCCAGATCGCCTTCAACAATAACTGGAAGGAGTCCCTAACCGAACTGAGCGGCGGCCAGAGGAGTCTCCTGGCGCTCTCCTTAATTCTGGCGCTGCTCAAAGTGAGAACCGTCCCTATGTACATACTGGACGAGATCGACGCGGCACTGGACCTAAACCACACCCAGAACATCGGAGATATGATAAGGACGCAATTTCCGAATTCCCAGTTTATTATTGTCTCATTAAAAGAGGGGATGTTTTCCCACGCGGATGTCTTGTTCAAAATGAGATTTATCGATGGCATTTCGACCGTCAACCGACACTCGCTTGACATTAGGCAGAGCAAAAACAAGGAAGTGACCGAGGTGAAGCGTCGAAGGGTTACGATTCACGAGAAGGATCCGGACGACGATTGACGGTTCGTCCAAGTGGGGCCCATCCATATCGGCGTGCCTATCGTTGTGATAAGAAAATAGACCTATATGCCCATGCATGTTGTTTGCATTTTTCGCCTCCTCCGCACCCCATATAGCACAGGTGAGGAAAAAATGCCCAACTTTTGTGACGCCACGTACATGTGCTTTTCCTTCTTTACACAGCACATGTGGCATAACGTAAAAAACGAAGCGACTCGTAAATTTTGAAATTTACAAGCAAGGAAATAATTAATGATCATGTTTTGAGAGCCATGCTCATAAGCTCTTCTCACTCAGTGTGTATCTATACAATTGGAAATGGGGGAAGGGTGACTACTGCTCTGTCAAAGAGGCGCATAGAATTGTGCCACATCAGACGTAAGTGGCTAAAAAAAAAAAACCATTTGGGGAATGGTCAAATGGTTGCATCTTGGACAAGAATAATACGGCCAAAAAAAGGAATAAATAAATAAATGAATGAATAAATACGCAAGCATAGTGTACGTAATAAAACAGTTAATTAAGTCTACTATCGCAACTGCAGATAACAACAACGTACGAGTTGCGAGAAAAACCAAAAGGGTAAGAAGTACAAACGTGTTGCACCCCATGAGGGCAAAAGGGCGAAAGCAGAAACTGACGGGGCAACGTTCGCATATGCATAGGTATACATACAGCTGCGATTGCGCCAGTTAACGCGCAGAAACCGATTCTAGCCCCGATAACCCTTCAAATCGATGCTATCCATGCCAACAGCTCCCCCCCTCAGCGGAGAACCACGTCGGCCAAGCTCTGCACCAGGTCCTCGATGATCACGCTTTTCATCAGGTCAGATATGGATTGCAGCTGGAAGTAGGTGCATATTCTGTGCTCCACATTGCGCTCATCTGTAAAGGAAACATCGTCGTATTTCCTAGTAAAAAGGAACTTCCCGTTTTGAAGATCTACAGCCAGGTAACGTTTTGTCCTCGAATTTAAAATATGGACAAAGGAGTTGTTAATTTCCTTGTTGTACTTATTACACCGTTCCACTAGAAAATGCGCGCCGGGCACATTTTCAATTTTCTCATTCTTTATCTGAATAGCAATCAAATGTTCGTCGCTTGGTGCGGAGAGGTAGCACCCTATTATATTTTTGTTCTTATCTCTGCGAATGTTGCTCATTTGGTTTATTTCTCCCTTTGGTATGGATCCTTTGTATTGAAACGAAACTAGGTGCGCTTCTTGGATGTGCCCTTTCTGCTTCTCTGTCTGCTTCTCTGTCTGCTCCTTTTCCTGCTCCTTTTCCTGCTCTTTTGGAATTGGTTCCATTTTGGGCTCCACTGGGGTATGGTCACTCCTGCGGCTGCTGGAGTTGTCACCGGGGGGATCAGTACCCATTCTATCAGTCAAATGGCTCCCCCACGCATCCTCCACACAGTCTCCATCGGGTGCCGATCCATTCCTCACGGCGTCGAGAAGGTCTCCCTCGGGGGGGGTCAAATCACCAATGCCCCTACTATTTCCTAGGTTGTTATAATCCGCAGAAATTAAATCATCTACACTTGACGTGTTACTTTCTAGTGGGCATTCTCCAATCTTGGTGGAATTACTCAGTATTGTCCCTTCCACAGAGTTTACATTGGGTAAATACTTCTTCTTTTCGATTATGTTAAATGATTCCATTTCTGCATATGTCTTGTTTTCGTTTAGATCCTTCTCTTTCTCGCTCTGTTTGGCTTCCACTGTTTTGGAGGAAGTGGTCCCCGCCTGAAATTGATTCCTTTCCATATCACTCTTCCCCTCTAATGGGGGAGGGGGTACCATTTGATTCGAAGTAGGATCTGTTACATTCTTATGGGGTGGCACCTGATCAGCATTTACCCCTTTGGGATCCTTTCTGACAGGACCTTCTTCATCTACCCTGCTAGACTCATCCTTCGCTTTGATAAAATTCCTGGAGACCCTTTTGGAAGAAGCCATGTCCTTATTCATTTCTGCATTTTCTACCTGACCTTGGGGGGGATAAAAAAACTCCTTTTCATTCTTATCACTATACCAATTGTAAATGTCGTTAAAATAGCCATAAAAAAAATTCCAAAGAGGGTTGCTATTTTGCTGGAGTAATTTCATCTTCCTTTCATGGGTATGATAGTTGTAAGTATAATTTATGTCTATTGTGTGCATTTGAAAGAACCCGATGTCTTTGCCAAGTACGACTTTCTCAGCTTCTTCAATGAAGTGTGGCTCTATGTCGAAAAATTTATCCATGCATGCAACTTTGATGGAATAGGTTCTAACTTCCTCTCTTAACATGTTATTAATAATTTGTACTTGTTTTATTTTCCCCATTATTTTATCGTTGCATAGGAACTTGCTTCCTATTTCTTTTACTATTTTGTAAAACGCCTCAGAAGAGTCTCCCCCCAGGGGATCTTCTTTCTCTTCATACCAATGGGAGCTACAGATGTCCTGTAAGAGACTACTACAGATGTAGTGTAAACATTTCGAATTTTCCCGTTCCGCGTCTTCCTTCCCCCTGGCTTGCTTCATATCTTCATATTTTTTTACCAGCTTGTCTAGGCACTCATCTTGGAGAAATAAGTCTATAAAATTTGCTAGCACTTTTTTTAGAAGGATCTTCTCATTGTTGGCAGTGGGTTGGCTGGGCTGACTCGATTGACTCGATTGGCTGGGCTGGTTCTTATCCTCCCCCTTGGACGTCCCGCTCTTCTGCTTTGACAACCTGTGGTACAGCTCGACGAAGAGCCCCAGCTGGAGAAATCCACAATCACTGCTGCCGTTTTCGCCGCTTCCATCGCTACTAATGCCAGTAGGTGACTTCCTCATCCGTATTGACTTCTCATCATCCCCCAATTTGGCCCCCCTCACGTGCATTATGTTGCCATAATTTGATGGAAACGCTTTCGAACTGACATGGACCATTTTGTGTGTCTCCCTTTGGTCCCGCAGGTACTCCAATTTCTTTTCCGACATATAGAGCATCAAAATGTACTTTTCCTCTTTTTCTAAGTTGTCTACCTTTAGCCCCAATTTATCAAAATCGATTTGGTACATGTCGAAATGTTCAAAGTTGATGAGGTCGACGTCGGTGTCATTAATGAGTGTTAACTTCTTTTTTATGGCATCCACTTTGCTGGCCATATCGTCCATGCTTTCTTTCTTTTCCACACCGTTCGCAGGGGCGTTTCTACTAAGAGTGTACTTTCCAATCGGAGCATCTTCCTTGTGTCTCCAGTTGGGCGTCCTAGACATCCCCCCTTGGTCATGTTCTTCCAAGACAAAGGACCTTTCCTTCATGTCTAAGTTGGCGGTGGTGTTTCGCTTCTCAAAATTGTTTGCCTTCATTTTTACAGCCGAGATGATATCACTTTGGTATCTTTTCATTTGGGGGGAAATTATTTTCCGATTCGTTCTTCCTCCTTGCGAATATTCTTCGCTTCTTGGGATCCCCGAGCCATTGAGGTAATTTCCACGGCTCGACCTGGCCGTGCTCGAATTGAACTGGTCTGAATATTTAGCAGAATACCCTTTCGACTTATTCAAAAGAGATGATACTTGTCTGTTAAGCCAAAAGGGCTCCAATTCGCTCTCCTTGGCCTCCTCTATTTCAGAGTCGTCGTATATTTTTATATCTGATAATTCGTCTGACGAACGGGAGGACGTTCTTCTCGACCCGTTTATGCTTTCTACATGGTTCGCATCGAAATGTTCACTCGATTGCATGTGATAACTTTCCATTTTGTTAATTTTTTTTTTTACCTCTTTTTCGACTTCATCTTCAGTTGGTGCAGGCGAAATGGGGGTAGCCTCTTCACCCTTGTGCTCCATGTTGTCGCAGAACATGCCGCGACTCTGGTTGTTCCTGTTTTTTCTGAGAAGGCCAACCTTATTCACACTTTCTATGTCCTCCTCTTCCCCCGTTTGTTCTTTCAACGATCTGAATGAACTGAAGGAAGTCGTTCCAAATCGTTGCATGCGCAGGTGTTCCCCCTCATTGGTTGCTCCTCCGACACTTTGGCCCGTGGTGGCATTTCCAATTTGTCTCTCTTTCCCGGTTTTGAGGCTACTAATCCTTTTAAGTGAATTATTCATATTCCTCTTTTCGGTTTCCTCCAAAATGTGCTCAATGGAATTCACCTTTTTCTGAACTATGTCGTCTGTGTCACTTTGTTGTATGAAAATTTTTTGAACCATGATTTGTTCCTCAGAAGACTCCTTTTCTGAGCCATCCGAATATTTCTTCTCCCTCGGGGGATAAAAATATTTCTGATTACTATTTAGCTTTCCAAATGTATGGTTTTTCCCTTGTGAGTTCAGGGAGAATTTTTCAAATTTTGTTTTAATTTCGCGATTTTTCTCCCTTCTCAATTCCAGCACACTCAATTCATCATTTAGTTTTGTTGGAGTGAATTTTTTTATGGCGCTTTGGTCTTTCTGTTCTTTTTGTTTTCCTGCTCCCTCCGCCTTCTCCGCTCTTGTATTTTTTGCGTGTAACTCTTGTTCAGTGTACAATTTGCTTACTTCATTCGAGACTTGTTCACTTTTTTTTTTTTTTTTTTTTAAGTCGTGGCCATGCAGTTGCCTCTCCTGTTTGTAATTTTTTTTTTCTGTCATACGATCATTTGTTGCGCTTTCTTCTTTTTTTACCGCAAGATCAAGTTGTACGTTTTGATAATTTTGTGCAGCCTGCTCGCTTTCGTCGTCTTGCTCATTCTGATCGTTCTTCTCGTTTAGTTGATCGGACTCGTCTGTGTCACCATACCAGCTTGGTACGTCTCGCCCACTTGGCCAACCTTTCTCTGTGAACACACCTACGTGACCCTCGGTCCCACTTTTCCCCTTTTTTGAATCCCTAAAAGACAAAAATTTATCCGTACTTTCACTTCCCCCACGTTGCAATGTCTTGCTACCCACGCGTGCACTTCTCCCCCTGCTTATACGCATAAAACTGGCCTTATCGATCTTCCCATTTTCTGCCTTCTTTAGGTAATTTGATTTGTGGCTAAACGAAAGAGGAAGCGACTTTTTCTTCGAGAGCATTTCTGACTCATTGCGTAAGACATTTTTTTTGTAGTAGTTATTTTCCGTTTTTCTGCGTGTGTACATTACATCCCATTCGGGGTGTTGCAGCCTGTCCACAAAATGTTCATTGTGTATCGATGAGCTGGCTTGATCCTTACCCTTTTCGATTTCACCGTCAGGTGTACCTTCTTCAAATGGGAAGACTGTAACAATTTCGTCATTTTGGTCCCCGTTTGCTATATTGAAATGCGCATCTGCATTTTGATTGGTTCCCTTGGTGTTAGGCTTTTTGGCTTCGCCGCCGAGGGACTTGGCACCCCTTCTGTCCACCTCCCCCTTCATCCCGTGTAACTGGTTCGTGTCCATTTCGCTGAAGTGTATAAAGTGTTCACCAAATGGGTATACCTCTACGTGTGCACACAAGTGTAACCGCTGTTATGCGTTTCGCGTGTAGTACGTCGTAGCAGCGATTGTCTCCTCTTTTAAACCCATTCGTGAAGGAAGAAAAGGGTAAAGAGACAGCACATACAATTGTGATGACTTACGCGCTGAAAACGCAGATAGCTGTACTGTCAACGTCTAAGTGGTGTCAATAAAAAGACAAAAAAACAAGTTAAAGTGTGAAGGGATGATCCCGTGTAAATGTTATTTTGCAAAATGCCTCTATCAAAACAGAATAAGTTATTCGACAGAGTAGTATGGGAAACGACCAGAAACAAATGAGCACATCATGCGTAGGACATGCGAATAAAAGCACACATCTTTGCGCAATGATACGAAATATGATGAACACAGTGCAACACAGGTTGCTGCATTGTTGATCGTAAATAATGCAGCTACTTGTGTAAGGGCGGGTCCTTCGTTTCCTTTTGTCCTTTCATTTTTGTAGGGCGCATCTGTAGTGCATGAGCCAGTAAGACAGGATGTTCTGCCTTATTTTAGCGTCTACGCGTAACTTGAACGTGTGCACATGCACAAGTATCTATACATCTACATATATATACACGTACGTGCAAATGCGCCTTTTACAAAATGTTGACGAGGTTAATTCTCCACCCCACAGGACGCTTAAACAAAATAAATGCGAGCGCTGTTGGCCGCCTTGCCACAAAAGAGAGCTTACAACACAGCATGCGTTAAAAAAAAAAGTTGTTTCTCCTTTTTTTGAAAACTTTGAAACCTTTTTAGTAGACATTTTTTTTTATCCCGTTTTGTGCCACATTTTTGTACAATTTTGAAACAAAAAAAGAGAAAAAAAAAAACATTAAAAATGAAAATAAAAGTCGCTGATCTGTGCGTGTGATGTGATAATTGAAGGGGTGGAATGGATTTTTTGGCTAGCTGGAAAAAAAAAAAAAAACTTCTGATCTCTGCATATCAGTAACGAATTAAGTCCTACACATGGAACAACCGGAAAAAAAAAAAAGAGAAAAAGTCAACCTTTTACGTGGCTTATTTTCCTTTAAATAGGCAAACATTGAACAAACAATTTATGAGCAAATTTTACAACATCATAAAATGATCTAAAGGGGGGGGTTAATTTTTCGAAAAATGTTCAAAAATATCATATTGAAAATGCGCGTGTGTCATACGTCTGTGTTTTTTTTTTTTTTTTTTCTTTTTGTTGCCGTTCTTTAATATATGCCATTTGGGGGGCAATAACAAGGGAAATCAAACTTTCTAACTTTTCATATTCATAATGACATAAGTAGTTATGGACGTATGTAGCTCTGCGCATGTTCACAAATGAGTGCAAATTACATATTGGGGGGGATAAGAGATCAATTCAGTTGCACCAACGCAACGTACACTTAATCTCGTGTGAAGCCTGTCCAGTTGTCGTATGGATTTTTCCTCCCTCCCGTAACGTCGTGACAAAGTTATGGTATCTAAAAAGAAGTGATAAATAAAAAATACGAGATGTGAATGGAAGAAAAAAACGTGAAGGGGAAGTCCAAATAAAAGACAATTTTGACGCAAAGATGGGAGAGTAATTGGGCGAGTTCAACGAGGAGGCACATGTAAGTGAGGGGAAGGCTAAAATGCCCAGTCTGGTGTGACTGATGGGGGTGTTCTGTGTAAAGGTTACAGTTGTTCACCGGTGGAGACACTCTTCACCATGGGGCCCCGGATGGGGGAGGACATTTCCATTTGAACTTGCACCAGAACTGCCAATTAGCATATTTCACTATACAGCCGACTCACATAGGTGTATAACTTTTCCGTTATCTCTTTTTCGTCCATGGTGGGATACACATCAAAAAGGTCTTCCCCTAGATTGACCCCCACGGGGGAGTATGAACACGACCGCTGTTTTTCAATTTCGTCAACATCGACCGTGTTGGGAGGAGGACATATATTGTACGTGTTCAGCGCGAGTCCTAAGAAATGGGTTTTTATTTTTGCCCGTTTTGCAAAGATGTAGAAAGTTTGTATAATTTTGGGATCAAAGGTAGAAATTTTGATGTTCCCATGAGGGTCTTTTCTGTCTCTGCCCCCACTGGGAGCTAGCCAAATGATATTTCTCCCCTCTGTTAATAAGTTTTTCAAAGCGTTTAAAGATTTATGATTAAACATGATTTTCTCTTCTCTAAGTTCTGGAGGGTTCTCAATATATTTTTTGGAATAAATGCAGAGCAGGTTAGCTGAGACGCTAAATGGCCTCGATAAAGGATCTGCCCTTATTTTATGACCCCCAATAAAAATAATTTTTCGGGAAATGTTACTCGCGTTATGAATATGAAAAAAATATTTAATTATATTTGCATCAGCTTCTATATGGTGATTACTGAAAATGATTATGTTGTGTCCTTGTTCTATCCATTTTTTCATTTTGTCAATGTGATCAGTGCCCCTAAATTTAGAGTTTTCTTTATCTATCAATTGGGACCAGAATTGTAAAGACCATTCGTGTAAGCTTTCATCATATCTGTGAACATTTGGGAAGGTATAGTATCTATATTTTTTGAACGATTCTATGTACTTTAAAAAATTTTCTAAAAATATCTGTGGAGGACAAGATTTATGTCTTTTCATTTCATCAAAGTAGTTTTTTAAGAACCCAGAGAATGTGTTGATGTGTTCTACATCGCCCCTGTCTTCTCCTTTTAGTGTCTCTAACTTTTCGGAGATTATTTTTAGGGCTTCTTCATAGGTGTTATTTTCCAGAGTTGGGTAGTTCATCTTATTCCCGCTACTAATCGGAGGGGTGTATACTTCACTATTGTCCCCATTTGGGGCAGTCGAAATTGGATTTGGTGACGCACGGATGGTACCCTTTGTCTGTCTACTTCGAATCCCCCTAACCGCGCGGCCGCAGGGGTTATAGTTTTTTACGTAATGCAACGGTTTCTTCTTAACATTTTCGACATAAGTCATTCGGATGGTGACAAATAACAACGCGGTAAACAGTGCGTTGTTTAGGTGTAGCATTTTCCCGCGTCGGTTCTACAGAACGGGTCAGATATTGTATGTATATATTATCAGCGTAACGGGGGAGAAGAGCAGAAAAAATGAGGGTGTGCAGAATATTCTCACTTTTCGCATAACAAGGACAGTGGTGCACGTACAACACCTTGGCCTTCCCAGGGTTGCACATTCGTAATTGTTCGTCGTCTTAGCTGCGCCTGTTCATCAATGGTTCGCTGCGAGTGTGTGTTGTAAGTCCCTTCCTTCCGCTCGTTTGTGGGCTTCTTTATTTCTTCTTCCTTTTCTTTTTTTTTCCTCTGGCCGCCCGCGCGGTTCTTCAATTTTCCCGCGCCTATCCCGCCATTTTTAGAATCCGTTTTCCAACCTTGTGCACGGGCGTATACAGAGCTGTTTGACGACACAGTGCAAGTGTTGTGACGCGGCATGCGTGCGAACGGGGGTTCCACTAGGCTGCATGTACGTACGTATGTACCATGCGCACATGTACACGGTGACGTAACGTCCTCTCCACATCCATGTGTCCTTCAACGGCTCCCCTGCAGAAGGGATTTCGCACGAGTTGGCCTTTCGGCCACGCGCTAATTTGAAATGCGTAAAAAAAAATGATAAGATAAAATAAAATAAATAAGATACAGCAAGGTACAGTACAGTTAGGTAATCCTTCCCGCTCGCTTTCACCCCCAAATGTGAGCAAACGAAATTTCTACATTTCCTCAAAACGGAGCAGAGGAAAAATGCAAGTTGGCCTTCGTGTACAAAATATTTGCAAACATTTTTGTATAGAAAAGAAAACTATATGAAGAATTTTTTCCATTTCCGCGTAGCATTATATTAACCAATTTGTGAGCAAAATGAAGGCCTGATCCGTGTGACCAATTGAGTAAAGAAAGCCAGGGTGAAGGGAAAGCCATAGTGCCAGCTTGGTACAAGCCACATGACAAGCGCAGCCTGGTAGGCTAAACTCATAAACGTACGTATTGCCATTTATATGTGTATATGCTCAGGCCGAGGCGCACAACTCCAAATACAACATTTGCACAAACGGCTTTCCATTCCGTGAGGGTCATTCCCTTATGTGTAAAAAGCTGCCAAATGAGGCGTACACACCTTCTAGGACTGCGAAGCGAAAGGTATTCACATCCGCCGCACACATGCTGCGCGCCTGCGCTTCTGCCAATCGGCCCATCTGCACATGTGCACCCTATGATCACACATCTATGCGAGACGCGAAGAGAAAAACATGATTGCAATTCTCCTGCTCCTGATGCTTACACTGTTAACAGAAAAGAACAATACATACAAATTCAGCAGAAAGAGAACCACCCTAAATTATATGTATGGAAGTCGAGGAATAAATATATGTACCCCCCAAAAGAGAGCCGGTTCCAGGTTTCTTAGTAACCTGGTAAGCTGTAAAAAAGCGTCATGCCTTCCTGTAGGTGGGGACACAGGAGATACGGCGCTGCACACTTCTAGTCACTTCAGAAATGGTGGTGGGAAAAGGAGATATTTCAAATCGTCCAACAGAAACAAACTGTTTTATAACATCACTCTGCGAACAAATGATGGAGAAAAGAAAATTCAGTGCGATGAAGATGAGTACATATTAGATGCCAGCGAAAGACAGAACGTTGAACTGCCGTACAGCTGTAGGGGAGGAAGCTGTTCCACCTGTGCTGCGAAGTTAATCGAAGGGGAGGTAGACAATGAGGACCAGAGCTACCTGGACGAAGATCAGCTGAAGAAGAAATATGTTCTTTTGTGTACTTGCTACCCCAAGTCTGACTGCGTTATCGAAACGCACAAGGAGGATGAGCTGCACGACATGTGACTTTTTTGGGTCTCCGTTCGTAGTTCTGCATAAGATTATGCTATCTTAGGAGTGCTTCTCCGCGATTATGCTATTTTAGGAGTGCCTGTCTGCGATTATGCCAGTTTATGCGTGTTTATATCTGCCTGTACGTGCTGTACACCTGAACGAGGCGGTCGCGAAAGTACTCCAACCATTCTGGAAATTTCCCTTTTTTTGTGCGTAAATAAAAAGTTAATCTCTCTGTTTGGGTTTGTTTTCAAACTAAAGGGGGAAAAGCACTCGTGGAATGGAGAGCGATGATGGAGGGTTCAGGGTTCAGACGACGGGGCCCATCTCCCCAGAAGAGGGTATATTAAATGTCTCCCGTCCTGTTTCCGTCCGTACATAACTTGAGCATTCGTTGGGCATATTTTTAATTCGTGCGTCCTTACCCTCCCTCCTTTTTATAACCTATTTAGAAGTTTCCCCTTCGTCGTCTTTCCTCCAGTGCAGCGGCCCTCGCCTTCCCCCACTTGACGTTTTTTTTTTTTTTTTTTTTTCCCATTTGTACTTACCAAAGAGGCGCGTTCTTATTAGCCTAAAGACAAAGCGTGGACAGAAAATTAGTCCCAGTAGCTTCCCCCATTTGAGCGAATTAACAGATTAACAGATTAGCACATTAACAGATTTGCAGATTAACAAATTGACCTTTTGGTAGATGAACCTCTGCTCGTTCGTTTATTTCCGCTTTGAGATTTCTGCGCCTGTGCGTGATCGATGAGGGGGTTTCTGAGTCTGTCCTGTTTCCATTCCCGTTGCATGAATGCATCCGCGTTGTGCGAGTTGGACGCAATTGCGTGTACAGCATGCTCATATGCATATGCCTATACGTGAGCGCATTTTTAAGTTGTTTTGCTTCTTCGCGTGTGCCCCACCTCGGTAACATTGATCGGCAAAGCGTGCAGTTCGTTGCGTGCGTGCAGTTTGTGCTTTGCTGCAATTGTACGCCCATGGCGAAGACACACCGCGCGTAGCAGCGTAGTTACAGCAGCTTAGTCGTAGCTTCCCCATCGCGCCCCACCTGTGAATTCACATTTCCCACTGCAGAAGATGAGCTCTTCAAAATGTGTATCCACCAGAGTTGCAGCATTCGTTCTGTACCTAATCCCACTGATATATTCCTTCTTGCTCGTCGTATTTGGGTTCCTAGAGTATGAGCAGAGAAGGACATGCAATTTATTAGTGCTGTGTGTGCTTTACGGAGTTGTAATCATTTTAATTTGTTCAGTTGGATGCTATGGAATTGTAACTGAAAATGTCACCTCCATCAGATCAACAATTATCTTGTTAATAGTGAACAACATTATTATGACCATGTTAATAACTTTCCTGCTGATTGATATTTTAAATTTCCCCCACGTGGTGACAGTTCACAGAGCTTCCAAAATTTTGCAGTTTGTGGTGCAAGACAAGAAGGTAGGCTTAGCTTTCTGTTCGGTTGTCTACGGATTGATTTTTTTTTCCTTCTGTTTCATGTGGACCATTGGAGATTACTTAGCTCAGCTCGATGCAAAATTATGTTTGGATGACTTGAGGCATTCTCATGACCGCATGCAGCACAAGAAGAAGAAACATACGACAAAGCTCCTCGGAGACGAAAGCGAGTTCTTGATCAAGGTGTAACTAGCGCAGTGAGGAGGGCAGCAGAAGGCACGGAAAGTCATAGAGGGATATTGCAAGCCGCACGTTAGTGTCCAGTTGTACACATTTTGAGAAGGGAACTTGTGGAGCACCACGTGGGAAGGACCACTTGGGGAGAGTTCCATGTTGACCGAAGAAAAGAAAAGAGTATTTGTGTCTCTGCTTTTACTACACTTTGCGTGTACTTGTAGAGTGGAGGCACTCCCACACGTTTTCTTCCCTGCGAAAGTTAGCTCCTCCGTTTTTCTTAAAATGGGGATGAAAGAATTCGCTAATTTTGGCCAGGGTTACGGGGGGTGTACCGTTGCGGGGGACGCTTTGATTCCCTCCATTTTGCCGTTCATTTTGCCGTTCATTTTCCCCTCCTTTTTCCACCCCCCGTCATATTTAAGATTTATACTTTAGAATAATACTTTAACCGCCCACCCGTTTTGTCGCCCCATCGGGCCTATTCCCCCTAGCACTGCCTCCCATCCCAGCTCTTTCCGCACCCCTCATTGATCCAGTCAAGCTTCCACCCCTTTGCGAAACTCACAAGTGTTACTTTAAATTATGTGCATAACATACTCGTACGGGGTGGGGTCCTCAGGGGGAACCGGCACCGCGGTGGTAACGTCTGTATAGACATATGCGCGAATTTTTTTTTTTTTTTAAAACGCATTTTAATCACTGAAAACGAGTTTAATTTGTTTCCCTCACCTGATACATGGAAGGAGCGAGTGAAGATATAACAGCACATTGACACAGATTTAGGCGAATACAGTGTCGCTGTTGGGGGCACAACGGAAGGAGCAGTTGGCTCTGAGGGCACATTACAGCAGAAGGAAGCCCTTTGGGAAAGAAAAACCTTTTGGGAAAGGTCGACCAACTGGGAGTTTCACTCCGTTGGGGTATTACTGAACCAACCGATTTTCACCTCTCCATCGATTCCCATCTCGGGAACGTAAATTTGTTACAGTGGCGAGGCGTTTTGGAAGAAGGGGCCACTTTGCTTCACCAAAAGGAAAAAAAAAAAAAAAAAGCTTCTCGGAGGGAAATACAATAGTACGATGAATGCGTCATGCTATATATGTAAAGCATGGACAACGTACGCATGTATATTTTATTTATTATTTTATTTTTTCTTCTTCTTCTGGGGGCATTTTACCCATCTCTCCCACGCGTGGGGTATAGCGTAGCAAGCCTACTCCGAGGTGGCACTTTTCACCAATCAGCATTCATCTGCGTATATTGGGCGAAGGCGTCGGAGAAAATGCAGATGTGCTTGCGACGTTGTGAAAAATTCTCCGCAAACCGCCGCCAATTGGGGGGGTGCGGATGAAAGATTATACTGCAGTGATCACCCATTTGAAGAATAAAAAAAATATGTTAAAAGGAAATAAGAATTTTTTTTCCACTTTATTAATCATTTATTCGTTTGCGAAGTTGCCCTTTTTTGGAATCCTTTTTGAGATTTTTTTTTTCCGTTATGCGTAGCGTATATGCCTCCCCAGGGGCTGCAAAAAATCTGCAAAATGGTTAAAACTGCTACGGAGAATAACCCCTGCGCATCTGTCGCAAGTGACATTTGCGCTCTGTTCACTGCTTTACAAAATGACAATAGTAAGAAGGCCATTTTGACTAATCTGACCAAGTTATTTCTTCTGCTGTACAATGAACGGCTGAAGAGGAAATTGTTGTATGGCTCAAGGGAGGAGACGCGTTGCAGTGATGACGAAGAGGACAACGCCAGTTTGAGAAGGATCTTCAAGAATGATCTCATTATACTGGACACTGGGAAGAAGGATTACACAAAATACGAGCTGTGGCTGAACGAATGTTACGATAAATTTTTAAATATGCTCTTTGAGTTACTTAGCCATAGTGATGAAGTTCTTGTAACAAAGAGTTTGTCCCTGCTGTTTGGTAGTCTCCAATTTGAATCCAAGATATATAATAGAATAACTACCGAAATGGGAAAGGGAGCTAGCCAAGTGGGGACAAACCTGCACAGTAAAATTCCCACTCATGTACGTGGTACTCCTCGAAATGAGACGAATATCGCCAGCCACTGGGGGGATGGCAGACCTAAGTTTATAAAACAAAACGAGATGAAAAGCAATTTGATGAAAGCGTTTCCCATTAAACTTTTTAGAAAAATAATCTTCCATCTGCTGAAAATTGATCAAATTAGCATCAGCACGATAAAATATATTTGCAAAATATATTTGTGCTTTTATTACGATTTGAACTATTATTTTTTGTCCATCTTGAAATCCTTTTGCATTTTGAGGAAGGATCTCCGGGATGAGAAGTTCTATGGAGACGATGTTGTGGCCAGAGAGGATCATTTATCAGCAGAGAGAGGACACAACGAAGGATTCACCACGAAAGAGCAAGTGGGACGAGGAGGTAAAGACATATTAAGGGATAACCCTAATACAAACCTGTTCATATTTAGCATTTTAATTAACTCTATAAAACCGGAAAAGAAAACTAAAGACGCCCACATTAGGAGGAAAGATTACTTGAAGAGAGGCAGAATTGACGAATTATTCTTCGACCTAAATGACGAGGAGTTGAGAGGATTGGCGAAAAGGAAGAAAAAGAAGAGACGTATTTTCCGAAGGAAGGAGGAGAAAATGCCATACGACAAGGTCGAAATGAAGAAAACGTTTTACAACTACGACACGGATGACAGCATTGTGCACTCGTCTGGCGAAGAATCGGACGGTGCATCTTCCCGCGAGGGAGACAGCAGCACAGGTGTAAGCGACACAGGACAGGGTGCCAATTTTTTACGAAACGCGAACCTAATGCACGGTACAAGCTTCAGCGACGAAGAATTTGACCCAGATAAGGTAGAAGATTATGTCATTAGTCCAAAGAGGAAGAAAAAAATCCAACTCAAATTGAAAAACAGAAAGAATAATTTATTTATAAGTGAAAATGTCGATAAAAGGATTTACGCCAGATTGTATACAAGTTGCTGGTTCTACTTTATAACCTCATTTAACCACAGACATTCGATGGTTCTCCAGTTATTGCACTCCATTCCACTGTTTGTATTTCCATACACAAATAATCCTTTCTACCTTATCGACTTTTTCAACTATTCCTTTTACTCGTCCCAGGGTTTGTACACATCACTGGCTGCTCTTCCAGGCATGTTTTACATCCTGACGGACTTAAACGTTGGGAATTTGCTGCAAGGGGGGGGAGGGACGGGGAAATCCGAGGAGGGTAGTGACCGAATTGATGAAGAAATGAACGGGGGAGAAAGCGAGGAGGAGGGCGAAGGAAAAAATGAAGAGCCAACTGAACAGAGAATTGCCCCCAAAAGGAACCACCCAGACGAAGGGGAGAACAAGTTGAACGATAATATGTACACGGATTACTACAAGAGGCTATTCGAGCTGATAACACCAGCGAGCTTCTACTATGCCGATACGAGCTTCTTAAAGATAATTCACGCATCTATAAAGAACCAAATGATCCCACTGCACTACGTCATATCCTTTTTGAAGAAACTTCTGCGAGTAGCTTGCCTGACCTCCTACAACGTGTCGATAAACATCCTCAGCGTGGTGTATGACTCCATGAATTATTTCCACAGCGAATTAAAAGAGGCCATGTCCCTTTCCGCCTCGGTTTTTATGAACCTAGAAATTAAAGAGGATTTATTTTGCTATCAAGATTTGGGCAAAAATTTTGAAAAAAAAAAAATCGTCCAAATGTTGTGCGATGGAGATGAAGGGGATACAGATGGGAATGTAGATAGAAATGGAGATGGCAATGCAGATGAAAATGCAGATGGGAATGTAGATAGAAATGGAGATGGCAATGCAGATGAAAATGCAGATGGCAATACAGATGAAAATGCAGATGGCAATGCAGATGGCATTGCAGAGGGCGAATTCATGACTAGTTTGGTTCACTCGGAGGGGGAGGACGAGTGTGATCATCAAGTCGCGGCACCAAACGGGGTCGATAACCATCTGTGCGCGGAACTGCGCGTAACGGAGAAGGACATCACCCTTCTGCAAGCCACCGATGCGACGCCGGAACTCAATTCGACCAAAAAGCTGTTCAGCCTGCAGGAGTGCCTGCCAGACAAGTATCAAATAAATTTGAACACTCTGAACAGGAAGGAGCTGTACATGGCCAACCACATATTTTACGAAATAATTTTGCTGAACAACCATTTGTGCGAGAATTTGAAACAATACTCGAATGTGTATCACTACAGCTTCGGCAGCGATTCGTTTGCCAAACCGCAAACTTTTTACACGAACCCGAGTAAGTTAAATTTGCAGATGGAGAGTTCCCTTTTTGGCTTTCTAAAGAATTTTTTGAGCTTTAAAAAGAGGAAAGAGGCGGATATAGTGCCTTGTGTGGAGAGGAAAGGTTTTTCAACGGTCTTCCTATGAATCCGCGCAGGGATCACGATCACACTTTGCGTTTATGTTCTATTCATTTATTTTTTTTTGTTGTTGTTGCCTTTTAGCAAAATTTTCTGTAAATTTTACCATTTGTTTGGGTATGTGGAAAATAGGGAAACTGCTCACCGTCAAGTGGTGCCACCACTCCTGTAAAAGTGTTTCTCCCCAAATGGGGGTGCCGTAGTGGACATGCCGTACACAAAAATAGTGCCCCATTTGTGTGCATTTGTTTGTATATACTTTGTGGAAGTATTTTTTTTTTACCAATGGTAACATCGAAAATAAGTGAACTCCTATGATATTTTCCCCACCTTAAAAATGCTACACTGCATTGTGCTTGAGCAGAGAAGAAGTATACTTATTTTTTTTTTTTTTTTCTTAAATTGTACTTACGATACAGATTTGCTTTTAAAATGCAAGTTGGCGAGCTTCTACCAATTTGATAATGAAAAAAAAAAAAAAAAACATTTAAGTACACGAAAGAGAAGTAAGATTTTTCACGCAAGCATGTTTTCAGGTTTGCACTCACTTGGTTCTTTCTTTCTCCGTTCAGACTCGCGTTAACCGATGCAGTGCACGTGTTTGTCGCTTTTTAGTTCCAACCCGTTCGTTGTAGCGGCGTGGAATATGCCACCAGCGCAGATATTTGAGCAGATACATATATATACGTATATATGTACGTATGTAGGCATATACGTGAACGCAGCATGCATATGTGTTCTTCTCCTCCGGTGCCATGGCGCTCACTTGAGCGGGATGAAACGGGACGAGTGCGTCGCGCCGATACCGGGTTTTCCATGTCTCGTGTGCTTGTACGTAATGGAAAATTCACCCAAATAGTAGCCAATCATTTCTGGCTTTATTTCCACATTGTTGTACTGTTTGCCATTATGCACAGCGACAATTGAGCCAACCATCTCGGGAATGATAGTCATGTTCCTTAAGTGAGTTGGTATAGCTCTTGGTTTTTCTCCAACCTCACATTCTTTTTTTGCTTTTCTGAGTTTTTTCAAAAGAGACTTTTCTTTCTTACTTATTCCTCTTTTGAATTTTCTTCTCTGCCTTGCTCGAAAAAGTTTAATCAGTTCATCCTGACTCAAGTCCAGTAGCTTATCGAGCTCCACACCTCTGTAGTGGAACGTTCGGAATGTTCTTTTCTTGGGTTTGTTTGCGTCTTCCTGTAAAAGGAGGGGTGTGTGCGGTGGGGGAGGATAATCATGGATGCGCAAGTGAACCATGTGGAACTATTCGCTAGAACTCTCCGTTTGATATTCACTGGAGTACGCCGACAGGGCAGAACAAACTGGAGGGTTGTTCTCCTTCAGCCTCTTCATCCCCTTAGGCCGGTTGGAACGACAAAAAATGGGAAACAGGAGAGGTCCGTTACTCCTCCGTAAGAAAATGGCGAGTCAATTTACGAGTGGCTTTCTCTTCTCATTTCGAGCAAAGCCATGCATCGCATCCCATTCATACGTATGCTTTCGCCAAAGGAGCCGGTTACTCAAAATTTTCTACGCCTACTGCGGCACAAAAAAGTTTTGATGTAAATGTGCCCAGCCATTCGGGCATACATTCCCGTTTCAGTGAAAAAACGGAAATGCGAGTGGGTCAGTGGGACATATGCATAAAGTATGAAAATGCTTACCATGTTGTTAGGGGAGAGGTTTAAAGCAAGGAACTTTTTAATAAATCCGTAGAGGTGAAATGCAGTTTAAATAGAAGAGGCTCCTTCACAAAGGCTTTTTTTTCCCTTTGTTTCTTCCTTCCTTTTGTGCTTAACCTTTAGCGTAAATTTTACTGAGATGGTAACAGTTCAATTCGTGCTGAAAAATTGTCACGTAAAAATTTTTTACTTATATTGATTCTTAAAAAGTGGTCAAAAAAAAAAAATAGAATAAAATAAAATAACTCGCAAGCGTTTGTCGTATTGCAATTTGTGTAATTACATTTTTTTATTTTTCGTTGCCGTAGAGGAATGCGCAATTTATGCTATGCTATATATGTACGTATATGTATATATATTTATATGATATACCTTTTTTCATGGACCCCGTCGTATTGACACAACGCATATGATATGTATAAGTAACACTTTTTCCCTTCCTGCTTCTGTGCCATTTTCTCGCCTCGCTTTAGCAACAGCGGCCATTTATCATCGACCAAATGGTATCTTTTTTCCGTCAGCAGGGAGTGGAGCTCTCTTCCCCTGCACGGGTTGAATGCACTTTAAGCTCTTTTTCAGAGGGGGGTTTTCAAAGCTAACGCGAAGCGGTGAGAAACCACCAACACAAAATGGGAAAGATGGAAGTATCGTCGCCGTCACCACCCACCTGGGGGTAGTGCATACCAAGAATAGCGGCAAAAAAGCGTTGTTTTATACTTTACATCAACGACGCGCATAACTGATAAAAATGCATGGGACGACATGGTATAAAAAAAAAAGTGTATAATACCATTTTGCGTATAAAAAATATACGTATATATTATTTCCATATGGTAAGCCTTCCCCCGCTTCATTTGTCGCCGATGTGATGTGATAAAATTCTCCTCGTCATTTTATTTAACCACATATGCGTATTTTTCCCGCGATGCTGACTATTTTTTAAACGTATATACTTATCTGCACCACAGGGGGGAGATATCCCCAGGAAAATAACTACAACCATCCGAAAGTTTCTTCATTTTTGCAGCGCAACAACACGTTTGTTATGTACCTTCCTCAGAATAGCGTGAAGAAAAAATTCCTAGAAAAAGTTAAAGCAGAAGAGGGGAGAAAAAAATTAGGCATATTTCCCATACCGATGAATAAAAAAAAATATATAAAAAAAACAAAAAGTAAGCTATCCATAAAAGCTACAACTTAATTGAAACATCTGATCATCTTTAAGTGAAGGCAACAGAAAATTGCAAATTTAAATTCCCACGATGCGGATTTAAGTATCTTTTTCTGCTTTCCCCCCCTTTATGCCTTCTTTATTCCTGCCATTTAGGCGAAGTTTACGTTAAGCTTATATATTATATACCCGTGTGGTGAAAGAGAAGGGCCTTAATAGACCAAATTTTTATGTAGTTTGTTAAGAAGGGAAAAAAAAAAAAGAACGAAATGAATCTCCATTTGGTATGAGAATGCCATGTGAAATGGAAAAGACTGATCGACTTCTCCCTAACATTGTCACAACACCCAAAGGAGATTCACAAAAGTGTCGTTTTCTTTTTTTTCCCCCCAATTTGATACATACAAAAGTACACCAAAAATAATATGCCTTTCTTTGGCATACAAATTAAGAACGAAAGACACCTCGGCTGAAGACCCCATTTTATCCCTATACAAAAAAGTCAAGTCAGCAAATACCCCCCACAATGAAGACAAGCATTTTGGAAAAAACAGAAAAAAAGAATGACGAAGCAAAGGATATGACGCAATGGGGGGAAAATGGTGAAGAAAAAGAAAATATGGTTTCACTCAGAGGATTTAATCTGTCTTATAGAGAAAAATTGGAGAACTTAAAGACAATTAAAAATATTGACAATAGCAAAAAAATTATAAAACTCGTTTTGGAGGATGTCGATTTGGATCCAAAAGTGATTATGCAGCATGTGGTCAACATGTTAAAAGAAAAAACGACGTTATACACAATCGTCGAGATAAACAAGGAGAAGTACAAGGTGAAATATAGCGAAGTGACCCCCGATGATTATATTTTATTTCCAGAAAATGTCCGCAATATTGCCAATTGCAAATATGCGTACATTGGTATTTTGAAAGTTGCTAAGTATACAAAGAGATGCACGTTTAATGAAAAATCTTTCCAGGCGTGGCAGAACATCCCGATGGATTTCTGAGTGCTGCTGGCTACACATACATGGGTAAGTGTACCTCGTCTTTTTTTTTTTTTTTTTTTTTGTATTTGCCGCGCATTGTACAGATATGCGCAGTGACCGCGTTGCAGTTACTGTCATATGGGCAGCTCGCACGATGCATCCTCCCTTTTTTTGTTTCAACCCCCGGTTTACGGTACCTTTCGGGTTGTTATTTCGTTCTCCGAACGTTACGTATATTATGCTACATAGTGTGCATTTTTCTCTTTCCCTGCACCACCATCCCAAAGTGTCACTTTTTTAAAATGTGCATTCGTCATTTTGTAAAGAAAAAAAAAAACGTGAATATGTTTTGGTAATTTGTATGTCCCACCAGACAGACCTAGGTGGGCACATTTGGTATACCGCATGTACCACATCATTTCATAAAATTAGAAAAAACATTTCATTGAAAAAGAAATTGACTAAGCGATGGTGATCCGTAAAGCGCATCAGTTCGTTGCTCATTCCGCTTTTTAAAGAATTACGCACTTGGGCATGTCACGTGAGAAAGGGCAACAACAAAGAAAAGAAAACAAAAGAAATGCTTTATTTTTTGAACAAAAAAGAAGGGTGGCTCTCCTCCCCAGTTCAGTACTTAATCAATGACGTACGAGTCAGGTAGGTAGAGCACATAGTTGTCATCACTGAGGTTTTCTTCGTCTTCCTTATTAGCGTTATCCTGATGGGAATGAAAAAAGAAAAAAAAAAACACATCATTGCGTCGATATTGAAATTATTTTATGGCTGAAGGCCACTGATATGAAAATACAAAAGCAACAATCTCATTACGTCGGATAGTGGGAACTTCACGTCTATTTGGAAGCCATCTTCCAGTCCCAGTTCCACATTGTCTGTTATGGGAGGGAAAGAAGGGGTATAGAGGCAGGCACAGCAAAACATGTGTGACATAAGGGGTGAGTGGCTTTTCACCGCAACGCAAAAGGCACGTGCACGTAAACATGCCTCCACCGCTGCGCGAAAACACAGGTTCCCTTTTGTCAAAATTACCAAATGTAAGGCCCTTATCGCATAAATCTCCGTCGAAATACATTTTGATGTTTTCTATTTTGTCCTTGGGTAGCTTGAACGAGTGACCCAGGTGTGTGGCCAAATCGCCGAAGGTTTTGTTCTGCGTGGGGTAAACGAGAGGGGGGGGACATCATCCGCGCAGACGATGATAGGAAAATATATGCTACATATACACTGCGCGTAGAGTACATAGATACATGTGCGTATGAGCGTGTGCGCACATGTGCCGTCTTGTGGGTACCTTGTTGATTAGAACATTGTCGAGGCTCTTGTTTTTTATTTCCTTCCCATCAGTTCCGATGATCTTTACTTTTAGCCTGCGCAGAAGGAGGAGTTCACGATTGAGCGGGTACGAAGTTGAGGGGGTATGCAGTTGAGCGCCATAAGGGTGGGCGCTTTGTCGTTCTGTCGCCTTTCCGCTTGTAACTTTTCCTTACCTTATCTTCTCCGTTTTGCATAACTTCTGGAAGGTAAAATTCCTGCAAGGGTGATGACAACAAAAAGAAGGGGGTGAAGGCCCACTGTAACAGGAGTGTACAGCGGGTAGGAACGCATAGACAAAGAGAAAAAAAAATGTGTGTGCTGTCTCTCTTTGTGTTACTTTTCCCGTTTTAGGAACTCCCTATTTTTGTTAAGAATGTTGTTGAAGTGGTCAGAATGGTTGAACTTCCTTTTGTCTTCTTTTTGGGAGCTGGAGATTTTTCCAAGCTGATGTATAATTTTGTCTATTGCGCTGAGAAATGAGGAGGTACGTGAGGGTATAAAAATATTGGCTTTCCCCGGGATGCCATAAACTCTGATGAGCAAACTCTCCATCAGCATCGTTCATTGGGGAAGTTACATTTTTTTTTGGTTCCCATCTTTACATATACAGGAGGGTAGCATTTATTTGCGAGTGACTTTCATGTAGCTCCTTTGTTTTTTTTCTCTCTCTCTTTTTTATGATGCACTTACTAGTTTATCTCATCAGACTCGAAGTGCTTTCTCTTCAACACGTCGTTTCTGTGCATTTCCACGAGCTGATTTCCTTTCTTCTTCGTTTCATTCTTAACGGATGGAAGTAACTTGCACTGTTTGTAACTGAATAGTGTGGCATCTAATTCATACTTATTTTCATCAAGAGGGCTGTAATTCTTTTTCTGTGTAATTCTGCAAATTTTTTTTAAATTATACATTTTTTTTTTTCCATTTATGGTGTTTATAAAAACGGGGTAGGCATTCCTTTGGTCCTTTTCAGCAAACTTGAAGTATATGTAGTTGTAGAAGGGGGATTCATTTGCGGCATCACGCTCGATCTGATTGTTGTGTTTTTCTTCCTGCTTCTTCTGGTTACACTGTTGAGTATCCTTCTTCTTGTCCTTCTTCTTATCCTCCTCCCCTGCCGCTTTCCCCACGCGACGCTTTCTCAACCGTTTGTCCTCCTTCAACAAATTGGAGTAATAGAACAGATCGTCATAGTCGTCACTGTACCAGCTGAACGAACTGGACGAGCAGTCACTGCAGGGATACAATTTGTGGTTAACAAATGCATTATCATGATATTTATGCCTTACGTACGCTTTCCTGTTGCTTCTTATCCGTTTAGCCCTCTCACTTTTTACAAAACTGTGTAGCGAAACCACGCTCGAGCTTGAGCAGGAGAGTTCGCTTAAGTCGTCCCCTCCCTGGTGGGTCCCATGCGATTGCGCACCTGTCATCCCATTCTTCCGATCACTAGCCAAATTATAATTAGTGAACATTTTGCAAAATCTATCATTGTTTATAATTATCGCATTGCCTTCCGCGGTGTACCCTACAATGGCTTTCTTCTTCATTTTATACAGACTGGATTTGTTTTTTTCGTATTCTTCGAAAAAGTTGTCCCTTCCTGTCGCGGTCCTATGGTAGCGCTGCTCAGTCGGGCGCTTTTCCCCAGTGAGGCGATCGTCCCCCTTTTCAGCGTGTCCCCTTTTTGCTTCGTCCACCTGGATCAAATTTTTATAAAACGCAATTTTGTCCTCAATGCAGGTCAGTATCTTGTTGTAGTTTTTGTAAACCTCGCTGGGTTCTCCCCCTGGTTGGTTCCTACCTCCTGTTTCACCTTTGCACTCCTTTCCTGTACCTTTAAATTTGCTCCTAATATATTCCCTGGACATTTCAAGTTCTGACAAAACAAGCCCCACCAGGTCTTTCTCCGTCTCGTCCTCCATTTTGTTTTTTTTTTAAATTTCCTTGCGACGTTTGCATGTGGACATTACACATGTGTGGTCGCGTTCGCCTGTTTGTTTAAACGCTTATATTTGTTCTGCCCTTATGTTGCATATTTTTTTTCTGTTTTTCCCTTTTTCTGTTTTTCTGATTTTCTCTTTTGTTTTTTTTTTTTTTGCTGCCGCGCAAGCAACGAATATCTAATTTCCGCGAATTTCAAAAGTTCCGTTCCGCTGAGCATCAGAATTCTTTCGGAAACCCCCATTGGGAATATTTCGCTTCTGTACCATTCTTTTGTTGATGAGTTTATTTAGGTGAATTCCCAAGGGGTGATTGGAAATAGGAGGTACTCACAATTTGGAAAAAAAAAAAAAAAGCAAGAAAGAAAAATAATTGAGAAGGAAGGGCCATATCTATTTTCAAGCAGAAGGAACAAATGGGGAAGCAAACAAGAGTTAAAGAATCCACCAAGAGTGACACATCTCTTTTTCGCGTTTTATGCACCTGAATAAGTTACTTCCGTATGAATGAGTGTACAGATGCCGGGACTTGTGTAAACACCTCGAGCTGTGGTAATACGACTGAATAAGCGCGCACGAGAAGGCGCAACTGGGCGCATTTGCAAAAAAGGGGGGGTCCTTTAAAGGCTGAAAATGCCCATGATGTTATGCCCATGGTGGTGTGAAAATATGAACATACAAATGTACGACTGTGTGAATGTACAACCGTGTGCATGATCCATTTGTTATTCCGTTTTGACGCGGCACAGAAGGAGCACATTGCGGAAGGAGTATAGCGCCCAAGAGATAACCCCCTAATAGCTTGCACCACCACTCCCTTTGGTCACTTTCTTTTTGCAGAAGAATGGGTTTTTTCTACAGCGGGTTTCACAAGCCTAGTGGCAAGAACATTAAAGAGAGGCGAGCTCAGATATTTTACGTTTTGGGACTGTTCGTGCTACCCAGCATCGTGACTTACGCAGGGAGCAACTACCACGTGCTGAATTTTTTCATTGATACCTTTAAGCCGATTGAAGTGCCCAGGGAAGTGGACTTCCAGATCATTAAAAAGATATACCATGATAAGAAGCCCACGTCCAAGAGCGCGGATTATGACGAAAATACGAACGTGTAGGGAGTCAGCGGTGAGAGAAGAAAGTGGAAGGGCGACCGGAAGCAGAAGTTGAACTGCAAATTCCAAACTCAATTGCTACTGGGGATAACCCCCTCCCCCGGCTCCCATCCCCAAAAGAAGGCCGTCTCGACGGAAGTCTTTCTGATTGCCCCTACTCCAAGTAACCAAATGAGCAGCTAAACGGGCAGACAATCGAGTTGTGTCCACCGCCTTGCACATCGTTGTGTTTTTTTTCGTTCATCGCATGAATGTGTGTGCTAAAAAAAAGGAAAAGACGTGATGCTCCCCAGCAGTCGTCACCACGTGAATTCCTCCACAACAGAAATGGGAGAATACATGCAGCGTAAAATGGGAGTATAGTCGACATATACGGAGACTAGCGTGACAGTAGCAGGACGTTGCCCATCTACAGATCAATCTGCAATGTAACTGTTCCACCTCCCTGTTGAGGCCATACGTACTTTGCTCCTTTTATTTGCATTGTGATTACTGCCGGGTGAGGGGAGTTAAAAATGCATATAACTCCTCCATCCAGGGTATGAACATGTTATAATTTCAGCCAGACAGAAGCGCATACACAGGTGAATCCATGCATACCTAGGTGTATGGCCAACTTAAAAGGGGGAAAAAAAAATGCATTGATAAGATGGAATTAAAAATTGCCAAAATTAAAAAATAGCTTAAAACTATTTTAGTTGCTGCATGAAGGAAGGTTGCGCAAAAAAAAGAAAAAGGAAAAAATCCATGAATGTACGGATAACATATGAGCGGATAAGTGAACGGACAGTTGCATGAAGGAATTAGCAATTTATTGAGTAACTGATTGAGTAACTGATTAACTAATTGAGTAACTGATTGAATAATTGATTGAGTAATTGATTGAGTAACTGATTGAATAATTGATTGAGTAATTGATTGAGTAACGGCTTCGATAAACAGGAAAAGAGAAAAAAGGAAAGAAAAAAAAAACAAGTTGGCACTACAGGGCATCGTTCGCGTTAAACATATTAAAAATGGAGTTGCTAAACATTTGCGCTAGCAAAAAAAAAAAAAAAAACTAGCATGTATATGTATTCATATATGTCCCCCCTTTTTATGTGTGCCTATGTCTTGTAGCATATTTTTTTTTGTGTGCATTTTCGAGCAGGTTGTATTCGCGTAGATGGCGCTCTCTCTCGTTTGCTTGCCTTCTTCCTCTCTCTTCTTTTTCCAATGGACTTGTTGGTTTTCTCCCCAGTTGCGTTATTATCCCTCATTTTGTTCTGTTTAATGTGCCCATTGGTGTCCTCAAGTGTGGCAGTTGTGGTATCGTTCGTTGCGGTGGTGGCATTACTATTTGGCACAGCCGTTAAGAAAATGCTTTTATTTGAAGATGCCATGTCGGGGGATCGATTGAGTGATGGCATAAAGCCACTTCCATTGAAGATTCCACCTTTACCTTCATTTGTATTTTCACTATGTTTGGTGTCCTCTGTTGAATTTGTGGCATCAGCTTCAAGATTTGTATCTGTATTAATGAAGGAGTTATTGTCATTTTTTTTTTTTTTTTTTTTTCACTATCGGTTAGGTTATCACAATCGGTTTCACTACCATTGTTCATAACATTTCCGTTTGTCTTACCATCGTCGTTGCTCCTCTTTTGCATACAGCAAGCACATTCTGTTGCCTCCTCCGTGTTAACCACTAGGCAGGAATTACACCTCCATGTTTTGTCCATTTTCTTTTTGGAAGTGTGTCAATCGGAAAAACATGTAAAATATAACGCGGGAGAGGGACGTACAATCAGGGTAGGAACAGAAGACCGGCGAAAAAAGGAGTTGTAAAAAATGGGGAAAATGTGTTGCTGAAAAAATCTCTATCCAGGGTGAGATGAAACGGTAAATATTTTTCCCCTTTTCGATACTTTTCGTGTTTTTCGTGTTATTGAAGTTTTCCTTCCCTTTTCCTGACCTCTGTTGCTTAAAAGGGCGGTAAATATGCTTTAACTGCGTAAAAGGTTTTTGCGTAGGGATAAATAATTGCATATCAAATGGTGCTTTTTTTTTCCCCCCTTCCTGTATGTGAAAAAAACAAAAACGGCTTCAATTGTAAAAAGAGCTTTTTCTAGAGTTGTTTTTAACTTTATAATCTTTTTCTTTTCTTTTTTTCCCTCTTTGTGGTAGGTATCAAAATAGGGAATTTTCTCTTGCTTCTTTCTTTTTTTTTTCTTTTATTCCGTCGAGTTGTATACCCTTCTGCTTCCCCTCACTCTCAGGGTTATTTTTGTTTTAAGCACAGGCTTGACTTGATCTTAGGCGTTACTTAGTTTTTGCTGTAACACCTTCACGCCTCTTCGGTGTAAAGCCCCTTTTCACACCACTTTAGCATAATCCTTTTCTCAGCTTATACGTAACATTTAATTAAGGCAAATTTTTACATAATTTTTCCCCCCTCCTTTTTGATATGAACATATGGGAAGTTATCAACAATGCGGTATATTTACCATTTTACAAGAAGAAAAAAAAAAATATATATATCATCAGAAATTAATGTCATAACGTTATGACATTGACGGAAGGACTTTTTTTTTTTTTTTTTTTTGCTACACCCCTACATCCTATTCGATGTATATAAAAATGAAATAACCTCCTTGTTGAAGAATTTCCATGAACTTTAAATTTCTCATTAAACAATTGCGCCAATTGGTTCGCTTTGGGTTGGCTATAAGAAGCGGGAGAAGGGCATATTTTTTCTTTTTTCTTTTCCTTTTCTCACTCTGTATTCCGCTTGTGTAAAGTCCGACGTGGCGTGTGTCATCTATTCGTCATACGGATGAAACGTATGCAAGTGCCCCCAACTCGTGTACCTACTTTGATTTCTAATGGGGTGAACCCTTTTTCTAAGGGGCTATAAGGTGAACGGGCGAGTCGATTTTTCGAGTCTCGTCGAGTCTGGATGTGCTGGTTTATTCCCACCGACGTCAGGTAAAACTGCGTGCAAGGCAAGTGAACAATCGAAGTCTTAAAATATGAAGTTTTTCAAAATTGCCAAATTGTGAAAAATCCCGTTCTTTTCCGCATTCCTCACTCGGTGCTCCTGAGTGTGTACTCTGCAGTGAGGACCCCCCAGTGATTGCTTCTCACCTCAGACGTAAGCACAAAGACGCAGAAATAATCTTCACCAATTTTGAACGTTGCATGTGCAGGGGAGGAACCCCCCGTTTCGAATGCCCTTTTCATTTTGCATTTACCTCCGTAAGAGAGGAAACAATCCATCCGTTGCACCTCCGCTGCGCTCAGATCTGCATTTAAGGGACGTCCAACGCAGCTGAGCGTCGAACCCAACTGCATGCACGAGCACACCCATGCATGCGAAGGGAAAAGAGGCGACCACGTGGATTCGCGCGAAGTAGCACGGATAATACGGGCATACACGAGTTCGCACATATGTATGCACGTTTGTGTGTCACCCATTCGTCCGCCTAATTCACCCCCCCATCCCCCACCACACCAATGGATTACTCGGAGGTATGAGCACACAAAGGCGAAGAAGTAACTCACCCCCGAGGGTGTCCACGTGAAAAAGTAGCACTTGCAGATTTGATCACTTGGGCATTTGCCAAATTGCACATTTGGACATTTACACATTTGAAGATTCACTTGTATGTAGGTGTTTTCCCAACTTTAAATTCACATTTTCTCCTTTTTCCCCCTTCAAGGTAGACGAAGATGACGAGGATTTATACGAAGGGTTAGAGGCCGACAATTTGGTAAGACCATCGAGCGCGGGTCGTGCATGGATGTGCGCGCACGAGCAGAGGATAATGTTTGTGCGTGTTACCACATTAGGCCTCCTCGAATGATGTGACAAAGCGGGAAGGATGCAATTTACTTCGAGAAACCACGTTTTATTTCATTTTGCGTCGCTTCGCTTTTTTTTTCACGCGGTTACATTTTCCTTCCCCCCCGAACGAACAGCTGCAGGGATCATACGAAAAAAGAATCGAGGAAAAAAAAAAGGAAGTCGAAAGGGCGCCCGTCAAGCCGAAAGAGGTGGGGCATTTAAGATGAGCCCAAATTAGGGCCCCCAAAAAAGGAGCATTTTTCCTCCGCACAGGAATCAACCGGTGGAGGGGATAAAGGATTTCCTATTTAATCATCCCCCTTGTTTGATCATTCCTCCTACTTCTTCCCTTTTCCCGCTTCGTAGCAATTTTTTGAAAAATCGAGAAAAAATTTATACAAAAGATTATGCGGCGCCAAGGTGGTCTACACCAAAAAGGGTACTTATACAATTTTTTAAAAACGGCAGGATAGAATGTGCGCACGAAGGGGGGGGAACTCCATGGGGAATATCCATGTGTCGATCGTAGTGCCTCTGCTCCTCCCCCCCTGCATGCACGGCAACGATGAAGAGGCAGGCGCAAAATGGTCTCGACGGTTGCTGCTTCATTGGTTACGTTTGAAGCGATCGATTTGATTTGACACTCCTCCCACGTATAATCCCCACACGCACCATTTCGTACAGAACCCTGCTTATTCCTCGGCCCCCCCCAATCGAGCGAAGACGCACAGGAGCAGCACCACAAAGTCGAGTTTTTATTACTAGTCAATTTGTTGTACTTTATAAATGATGTGGTGATAAAAAATTTTTGCGACAAAATCGGGAAAGTGAAAAGAGTAGTAATCTTGGAAGATGAGAAGCACGGGAAATCCCTAGGGATCTGTTTGGTAGAATTTTACAGCATTGATTCGTCACAAAATTATGTAGCTTATTTGAGAGAGAAACTCAAAGCAGATGTGCGGAGGGTAAGTGTGGACGTAGAGGAACAAATAAAAGCTGATGAGCTTTACAACTATGGAGGGTATATAAATAGCCACACAGTAGAATTAATAAAGAGGGATAACTTGGATGTTTTGCAGTGCACGGAAAATATCCATGACGCTTTAAGTAAATCACTAAACTTGAATAAGCACCCGATTTTTAGCTGGTTTAATACCAGCATGAAAGATATCCTCAGTACATACGTTAAGTCTGAATTAAGAAAAAAAAAAAAAAACGCTATCATAAATAATGATTACATGGATCGGAAAAACGAAAGCGACTCCGATTCTGGAAGTGATATATCCGCGCACATCATAGATTATGTTTCGAAAAAGAATAAGTTCCTTTCGCACCGTAAGTCATAGGGGGGGTGTATACATCGCGGAGAGACGCGTCTGCATTTTTTTTTTTTTCTGTCATCATGTGTGAGAACAAAAGAACAAGAAAAAAAGGGAAAAAAAAACAGCGAAACAACACCTGCTATAAGCGTATACATACAAACACCTCATTCGTTCCTGCGCGCGTTGGGTATACCCCCTCCCACCACGTGGCTACTCTTCTTTCAAATCGTACGTGCCTTGTTGCCTGCTCCCCAAACAAAGCACATCAAAAGTGCGTTCCCAAAAATGGCCCAACTTTTCTATTTTTTTTTTCTTTTTAACATTTTGAATAAATTTATTTCTCCTTCGAGATATAAAAAAACGATACATACTAAGTTGAAAAGTTAAAAAGCGAGAAAAAATTAAAAAAGAAAAAAAATTCACCACAGAAGAAATGTGTGGACGGTTAAAGAAGCGATAATAAGTAATATTTTTGCAAAAAGAAAAAAAAAGGGGAATATACCCATGGGTGGTAAAAGAGTGAATTCAGGTTACGAATGAGAGAATAAATTCGGGAAGGTGCTGGGTCTAGAGCGTGCCTTTGTTGAACGCACGCTGATACATAATGTAAATAAATACATATGCATTGGGGGCCCCGCGCGGAAGGGGAACCACCCAATACTCCTGCACTAGGGTCACAAATCCTAATCACTGCGTGGATAGATGATCCCATTTTTTCCCACGCAACGGATACAAAACATTTGTGTTTAGCTCCGAGTTGCGCTTCTCAATTGAAGTAACCCGATGTGTTTCTCATCACTATGGTTAGTTATTGCTTGTCTTGAGGCTAACCTGGTCGTCACCGCCATATGTCATTTGGTCATTATACACGGCGTCCCTTTGGAACCTTTTCATTTGTTCGATTACTCATGCTGCTTCGAATAATGGGGGGCGGGGGGCATTATGGCTCGGTAGGCCATCCTCTCCATGTTCGGTTGTGTCGTCCGCGTAGCAGCTCATCATCGATGTAAAAGTGAGTCGTCATCGGTTCCGCTCATCTTGCCCATCTCGTCCGTGTCACTTGCCACGATATTCGTAAAATAATATCCGCTCAAACTTCCATTTTAGTGGAGCTCCCTGCCCATGTTCACGCTGCCATTCGGATGGACATTCTCCGTTTGGCGCACACCATTATTCTTCTCCACCGTCTCCTACCACCTGCTCGTTCGAAAGGTAACTCAAATTGACAGCAGATAAGGGGACCATCAACCGAACAACGTATCTTACTACTATATCATTGGACGCATCATTTCTATACCTTGAACGACGCGTGTACCACTGGACAACTCGTCATTTCCAGTTGTGTGTACTGGGTCTCAGGCAAACGTATTCTCATCATGTGAACAGAATTATAGCCATTTGAAAGGGATCACACATGTTTGTTTGTTACTCCTGCACTGCTACTGTGCAGATGGCTTTCCCCAAAAGGTGTCACTCAACTGGAGTGGATTCTGTTGGAACGGGTCTGGTTGTGTCTCTCCCCATCATCGAACTGATTCTGCGATAGGTCGTTCTCCCAAAACACATTGGTGTTATCAAATAAAGCGAAACTGGTCCCATTCGTCGAAAAATTGCCCCCATTTCGTTGCAAAACTAGTCTCATTTGTCGTAAAACTGGTCATATTGCTTCTTAACCGTTAAGGTAAAAAACTGCCCATTCGGAAGGCTTCCGTCAGGGGGGAAAGTTCAAAAATGGTCTCCAGATCCACTAAACGGATTGCTTTGCTCATAGTTGTTCGACGCGATCAGATGATTCCTGAAACATCGTGGATCCTCGATCCCAGTTTGTTCATCCGTGCGGCTAGTGCAGGTGCTACCCCGCAGTTCATCACTGCTCCAATCGGTGTGCTCTCCATTTTGGTTCACTTCGTCTGAGATCCCCGAGACCTCCTGGTTACCGATTCGACCAGTAGAAGCATCATCCCCCTCGCACGTAGCCACCCCGGCAGAGATTCCATCATCCGCATCGTCACGGAAGAACATGGTTTCATTACTATCATGGTAGCTGCTCATGTGATTATGCGATATGTTTTCATTCAACGTGGACGCATCTGTCCGTTCGTGCGCCTCCACGATGGCCTCTTTATACGTCTCCTCGATGGCCTCTTTATACGTCTCCTCGATGGCCTCTTTATACTTCTCCTCGATGGCCTCTTTATACTTCTCCTCGATGGCCTCTTTATACGTGTCCTCGATTGCCTGTTCGTGCGTCTCCTCACTTGCCCGCTCGTACATTTCCTCGTTTATTATTTCCAACTCGGTACCACAATCCCCATGGTCATCATGTTCGTAACTTTGCACAACCAAGGGGTTACCCAAGCCACCTTTTCTGTCTAATTGGTCATAACATCCTATCCTGATCGCGTGGGTCGACGTGTCCATATTAGGGAGTACGTCCGAACATGTTTCACTTTTTTGTCTTTTCAATCTGTCTACATTCGACATACCATCGGATGCACATTCGACACTGTCCTGTTCGTCCTTACTTTTTTTCTCCGGCATGATGATGGTGTCAAATGGGGGATTCGAAGAATGTGTACAATTGGCGTCAGCATCCGATGGGCTGTGAGACTTGCAACTGACTACCAGGTTTCTGTCACAGCCTGCATCTGCCGCCACGTCATCATGTTTGCTATACACTTGAGTGCCATCTTTAAAATTCACGTAGCTACTAGGACTGCTACGGTTACTAGGGCTACCACTATTGCTCATTTCTTCATCAGGTTCAGCACTACTATTCGAAGAAATCAACTTGCCATTGCTGCTTCTTTTCTTAAAACCGTTCCTTTTCTCTTCCTGTATGGTAGGGACGTCGTCATTTCTGTTCTTCACCTTGTGAGAACATTGCACGGTAGACCCACAGCACGGTTCGCCCCCCTCTTCAATTTGAAGCTGTCCCTTATCGTTATCCTTTTCACCATTTGTATCCCCGCTCTTTCCATTTTTACGCATTCCTAGTTTGATCTCGTTGCTATGGTAAATTAGGTTCGTCTCCCTAATGTAGTATTCCTTTAATTGCGTGAACAGCATCATTTTTTCATTTTCGTTTAGATCATTAATTTCATTCAACCTTCTCGTCAGCTCTTCTGTGATTTCTTTGGTTAACTTCAATGCCAATTGGTCACTTGTATCTCCATACATTTCAAGCTTTTTCCTCTTCAGTTTTTCCACCACTAGAATGAGATTCCTCATATGATTCTCTTCGTTGCTGCTGTGTTTCTTTTCCTTTTCTATGTCGACTATTCCTTTCATTTCGATCAGATTTACGTTCATTAAAATGACCTGATTTTCCTTCTCGTGCGTCTCTTGTTGTTGTTTCTTTACGAGATGGTCATGTTTCATTGCACGGTTCATTGTACGCTTCATCACATGCTTCATTGCATGCTTCATTTCGTTCGGGGATTCTCCGTCCGTTTCGGAATCATCACCATGGGGGGTTTCTCCGTCTGCAGTGGCGTCCTCGCCGTCCGTTTGTTGTCCATCCGTGTCGTCAGTGTGGGAATTTCCTCGGTCACTCTCCCCTGGCTTGGCATCTTCTCGTGTTGCATCTTCTCGCCTGTCATCCGCCCCATGGTTAGCTTCTCCACCTTCGTGACACGACTCCCCCGCGAGTACACCATGTCGCGTCGCACCGTTCAGTCCACATCGCCTTGTAACGTCGTCCAAACCAGATGGTGCATGTCTCCCCTCTTCCGTCATCTTATATTCACAAAATGGATCATCACCACTACTGGGGTCTACGCTAATTGTATTCGCCCCGTAGCAATCCTCATTAAATTTGTGCATTTTCTCCGTTCCAGACGCCTCGTGCGGGTTTTCTTCACCATGGTGGGCGCCACTGAAGAGGGAATCTCCATTCTGGTATTCTCCATTCTGGTATTCTCCATTCTGGTATTCTCCATTCGGGTATTCTCCATTCGGGTATTCTCCATTCGGATATTCTCCATTTGCACCTCCCCCGGCATGCACCTGAAAGGACATCACTTGCTCATCCTTGAGTTCATATTTTGTCTTCACACTTTGCCGCTCTTGATGATCTCCCATTTGGTCCTGCTCTTCATCAACACTTTTCGCGGATAATTTCACAGGTAAATACGTCTGCAAATTACAAACCCTCAAATCGCCTGTGCCACTGTCGTTGTTAATGGGCATGCCATTGTTCGTCAGGCCACATGGCCCATCTGGGTACCCGTAGTAGTTCTTCAGGGTAGATTCGTTCCGCGATTTGTTTGGGGCTTGGTTCGTCACACCTTGGTTGTAGAATCCCCCGTTTTGGTCGGCGCAGGTGAGCTCTCCATAGCTGAAGGCCCTCTCGTTGATGAGTTCCTTCTCGTCATCCATATCGCCATCCATCTCGCAATCGACATCACGATCCACGTCACCATTCACATCCCGATCATCATCCCCTTCTCCATCCACATCCTCCTGGTTCTCATTACTCTCGTCGTAATCCTCATTGTTCTCGTCGTTCGATTCGGCCTTGGTTTTTTCCTTCATGACGCTCTTCCTGCACTGACTTCTCTTATTCTCCCCTGGGCCGTGTGGTTTCTTCTGCATGCACTTGACAGCCCTTATCCTGGCAAAAATGGCCATATATTTGGCCTGCGTCTGGCCAAATTTCTTTACAGGAAAGTACTGCCTCTTTTGGTTTCCATTTTGGCTCCAGCTAGCCACCCACCTCCTCCCTGATTTGTCAAAACGGACTCCCTTAATCTTAGGTATGACTAGCATGTTCAGATGATTTAGGGGAGTGTCTGCATTAATGGAGAGCAGGCTATTCAATGTGCTCAGATCGTTTTGGCTATTCTGTGGGTCCATGGCGTTGAAGATGTTACTACTGTCATGTCCATTCTTCATGAGCATGTTGTTCATATCGCACGTTCTAGCAACTGGATCGTTGTCCCTGTTCATGTTACTCACCCCGTTGACATTGGTAAGAGTGGTACCATCTCCATTTTTCGCCGACATGATCGTATTGTACACACTACTGTACCCACGAACAATGGACTTCTTACGGTGATTATTCGCATCCGGCATTAGGTAGTTACTACCATTCATGTTGCTGTAACCTCCGTTCAGATTCATAGGCACTTGTATTTTTTCCTCAGATGGGTAACCCCTCATGCGGTGTATCCACTGGTTGTTGTAGCTGTTATGTGCACCAGGTTGGTGGTTCATATAATCGTAACCGTTTTGGCTGCGCATGATGCTCTTATTCACATTTTCAAAGTAATTCATGTTGTTCCTATACTCCATCACGGCGACCACAGTTGGAGAAGCGGACGCCGCTCCAGCCGCCGCTGGGCCAGAAGCGGTTGAACGGATAGCTTCCTCCGTGGACATCCCATTAGCATTACCCCCATCGTAACTCCTCCCGTTGCTAAGGTCATTACTGAAGTGGTTCCCATTTGAATGCAGAAAGTAGGAGTTTTTCGACGCCTCGTTTCTCATATGGTAAGGGGCCCAATTGCAGGAGTTATTCATTTCCTCGTTAGGGTCATACATATGAGCAGCGCCCGTTCTGCTCATGTAGCTTTTACACTTCTGGTAGCTTACTTCTCTGAGGTGCTCCATGGAATTGGGCATCCCTCCGTTCAGCTTAACATTATTTTCGCCCTTGCATATGACATGCCGATTATCCCCATTAAAACTATGCACAGTTTCGTAACTACCTACATTTCTCATCTGCACGTTATCCACTAATTCGTTTGAGTAACTTTCTGAGTTATTCATCTGAAGGTTGGTGTCGATCTCGCTGCTCATGTCGTTCTTCATTTTTGTATCCACATCCTTAGCGTTGTACATAGCATAACTGGTGTCATTCTCCAATTGTTCTTTCTTGATCCCCCCGTTGTACACACTAACATCATACGACTCGTTCAGATTATATTCTGCTTCTTGATTACACTCAGCCATATCTTCCCCATTTGCTTTTTGCATATCAGAGTAGTTGATCTGTTCATTTTTACAGCTAACATTTTGGAATACCCCTTGTTCAGTGGTTACGTACATGGAGAACTTCTCGCTAGGATTTCTGTTCACGTGCTCCAATTCGCTGCTACTGTTCGTGCTGTTTCCAATTCGGGCACTTGGACCCATTCGGCTATCTTTGCTACCACCCATGTCCGTGTCATCATTGCCATTCACGCCCATCAGAAGATGCACATTTTTCATTTTCATTCGATTCATTCTAGAGTGTACTATATCCCAGTTACAACTAGCGCTACGTGCAAGGTTCGTGTACCCATTGGTGGTGGGTTCTAAGTATGGGTTCTTTCCATTCTCGACAAAATGCTTCATATTTTTTTCCTGCTTTTGCATTACCATATTGTGGCAATTGGAACCTGATCGGGAGTTATCGAAATCGTTCATAGTAGACAGGTTCATAGAATTATTTGAGCTGCTCCTTCTGCTGTAGCTCTTGCCTAAGTTGCAGAACTGGTTGTAACTGAAGGGGTTTAAGCTGTTGGGGTAGAACATCGAATCGACGTGCTCCACGTGCTCATTCTCTGCTGCATCGAACGTGGCGCCCATAATGCGTACGGGGCCCTTGTTGTCCACGTACTTGGGGAAGCCCTCGTCCGGTCCGTACATCAATGCGCGCTCGTCATTTCCGATACCGTGATTAACAGCGCCATTAACGCGGCTGTTCCGGAGGTTATTAACTTCTCCGTCCCCGCCTTCCTCGTGGCCAACATTCTCTTCGTCGTTTTCATCCTCTTCATAATTGATCGGGAACGTGGTATCCTGGCTGACCGTCGAGTTGGTGTTCATCCCCTCGCAGCCGTTCACGCCTACCTTGCTCATGCCTTTGATCTGGTTGCTGCTGGAGTTGCTGGAGTT